AAAAGGTTTAGGCTCCCCTGCCTGCTCACTTCTGTCCCTAACTGCAACAGTATATTTTATATTGTCAGTGACTGAATTAAGACTGAATTAAAATTCTGCTCTATACAGTAAAATCTGGGATATTTACTAAAATGAGACTTGTTGGGACTGCAAAGTGAATTCAAATTGAATTTCGAATTTAAGGCCAAAATTGCTGAATTAGAGATCATGTTTGATCTCTAAGGAGTTTATTCACTAAACAGTAGTATTTTTTTCCCACTAAACTACAAATTGCAGTGGATTCTAATCTGAATAACAAAATGAAGGCCAACACAGATGATTTGGAAACACTCTCCAGGTCAGATGAAGTTACTGCTTGACTATTTCCAGCTCTTTGGATATCATTACAGGGGCTTGTTGTTGGGATTAACCTTAAACCCATCACCTAACCCAAACTCCCTTAAACATACAATGTTCCCTGGTGGAGATATATTTATTTATCATCAGTTTATATTAACTCTGCATCATTAGAACATCTCTTTATTTAACTGCAACTATATTAACTCAATGTAAAGCATTTCAAAATGCTTAGGGCAGTCGTTCTCAAACCAGTCCTCGTGGGCCACCAGCAGTCCAGGTATTGGCAGTATCTCCATTTGAATAGAAAATGAGATAGAATGGAGTATTTGGGTGTTAAGTTAACTAGAGATGTAAGCAAACTTATGGATACAAATTTCCTGGATCTATTGCAAAATATTAATAGATGACTAAAAGATCTAGAAATAACCTTTTTGGGAAGGATAAATTTAATCAATTCTTATGTCATCCCTAAGTGGAATTATAAGTTCCAACTGTTACCACTACATATTCCCAACTGTTGGTTAGAAATGATTCAGATAAGTTTTACGCAATACATATGGAAAGGGAAAAAAACGAGATTAAGCCAAACAATATTGGCACAGAAATTGAACAGACGGGGACTGGCATACCCTATTATCCAAAATAATTATAGAGCAGTTTTACATATATACAGAATGCAGATTTCTGAAAATAGAAACAAAGGTTGGTATATGATGTAGACCAAAGCGGGAGGGGTCCCAAGTTTAGAATGCTTAATCAGGAACACTATGAAAATACATAAAAAAGTATATCCCAATACAATTTTAACACATTTACTAAATAGTTGGGAAAAAAATAAAAAATATGCTAAACATTAACAATAAATTTCCAAACTATTCAGAGATGAAATTCATTGAACAATTGGTCTGTGATATCAATTTGAATAAATAGATACAAGGTGGGACTATGAATATATCATATTTATTAATAGGAGAAACAATCAAAACGTTTGTACAACTAACGCAATAATACAACCTACCGTTAAAAGAATCGTTTAACTACTTAGGAATTAAGAGCTTTTTAATGTCACATCTAATGAAATCAGAGTCCAGTCTGACTAAATGTTTAATTATACTATTTAACTCAGAAAGAGTGGTAACACCATTTTTGAAAGCTCTATCTCTGAACAGATTTTGTATCAAAGAAAAAATACAGACAGCTATAAACACTTGGAAGAAAGAATTAAATATTGATAAAGATTTCAAATATTGGGGTTCCTCGATAGCAGAAGTAGCAAAAATTAAACACTCGTTAAATTTACTGGAATCACATTACAAAGTGCTAAATAAATGGCATTTAGTTCCAGAAAAAATAAACAAAATGTTTCCCACAATAGACCACCTGTGCGGGAGATGTGGATTATCCACTGGAACATACAAACATATTTGGTGGGAGTGCATTAAACTGAATAATTTGTGGGATGCAATTCAATTATTCATATAAAAAAATCTTTTTTGAGTTGAAGCTTTCCCGAGAAGTGGTTTTGTTGCATTTACAGTGGCCTACAATGTCATTTGAGAATAAAACTATTCCGACTCATTTGTTTTTGGCCACCAAAATCGTGGTCGCTAGGAATTGGAAAAACGGCAACCTTATCCCCTGTGACAATGTTAAAGCCCAACTCAGATTTCAGATCGAAATGGAATTTATGATGAGCAAATATTGTTGTATATGTAAGAAAGTACTGTTTGTAATGTTAATGTTAAAAGTATGTTATTGCATGATATACTATGTGGATGTATAAAGGAGGTACTAACGCCTGCATTTTGATGTTTTTGTATGGTGTAATGTCTATATGATCCGTTTAATAAAAGAAAATGATTAAATTTAAAAAAAAAAGGAATAGAAAATGAGAAATATATAAATCCTGGACAGTTGGTGGCCATTAGGGCTGATTTGGGAACCACTGGAAAGGGGGATAGATGTTAATAAGAGGCAGAAATGACACAAACCACTAGAATAAATGTTAGAGATACTGAAAGGCAAATCAGTTTTAATCTTTCGTAGCACTGTCCATGAATATTCTGGGTTCGTGAGAGACACTCGTGTTCTGACATGGAGTCTGGTTTTCTTGATTAGAAAAAAGAAAGAAAAAAAGGATAATAAAAGAAAGCACAATCTTTGTGAGATGACTGCTGTGATATTACATCTGCTTTCCCAGCATTTTACAGCCATGAATTCATCACAAGCAGGCAAATGACTAACATAAACAATTTATAAATATAGGCGTAGCGCAGTGATTGCTGAGTTACAATGTCTGCTATATTTTACCAATGCAATTATTGCATTTTATAGAATTTCGCTTGACACTGAAGGATAAATGGGAAATATTGCACCAGATGGCATCTGTAAAAGACCGAGAAGCATTGAATATTTCAGCTATAATTCCAGGTTATTACAGAAAAGTAAACTGACATATAAAGCATACTGGGTTTTAGGGATATGTGGTATTATTTTGGCTGCATTTCCTAAAAAAGGACAACATAAACATGGATGTTTGTGACATGGCATCAAAGCTGATGGTAATTGTAGCAGACTCATTCCCTTTTGTTTGGTTGTCCTTAGCCCGCTTGTTCATTTCCCGAATGGATGCTGTGTGGTCCCCCTTTTATACCTCCCCGAACACTGACTTCCCCTGGCTGTTAACCACAAATTGAGTGATTAACTCAAGTGCTTTCCCTGGGTGGCGGCTATTTGTATAATGGGCATTTTGTCTCCCGAACACAGGCAGTGGTACATGGTAATTGAACGCCTTTAACTATTTTCGGCCACGTGAGTTCGTACCGCTGCCCGTTCCACTTCTCAACCAAGTAGACGAACAACGTTCGGGTGATATGAACTACTGGCTGGGGGGGATCATCTGGTCCCTAAAAGCCAGGGGAAGTGCTCATCGGTGTTTGCACAGGAACCCCCGAAAGCTGACTAGTCGTCACCCTCATTTCTTTGGAACTAGTTTGGGCTATCAACGGTCGGTCAGAACTTTACCCAATGGCGATTCCGTTCTACTGAACCAATCTGAGCGCTATTTGGATATGTTGGGCAGTCAGATCTGAGCTATTCGCGGATATAAGAATTGTGAAAATCTGTTTTGACTCAATTATCTCTCAGACAATGGGATGCTTGGGAGAGACTTGTGTATATTTTGAATGGAGACCCCATGCTGGAGGTCTGTGCATAAAAGGCTAAGTTTGTGTGGAATAAATCAGTTGTACTCCCAGAACTGTGTGGTGTCCAGTTATTGGGGAGGGATAGAGCTATTCACCTTTCAGAGCCTTGTTCCTGAGTTCCTGTCTTCACAGATCGAGTGGAGGAAAAGTCCTTGTCAGTACTAGTGCTCTGCTACAGTAATCACAACTCTCATAATGGCTGTTCATAGGTATTGGTGTGAAGGACTACTTTTATTTTGTAGTATATTTTTTCTTCTTTTCGTAATCTTCAGGGTAGCTATTATGTACAGCTGGTGTTACAACTATTCCACAATCAAATGTACTAGTTAACATGGCTTCTGTCTGTTGGTTGCCATAAAAGGAGCACTTGTTTTGGTGCCAGAGGTGACTCCTAGGGTAAGTAGTCAATGCATTTGTGAATGGCTTGAGAACTTACCTGAGATCTGCTGGACACTTGCCATGACCTCTCTTGGAGCCAGAAGTTCATGCAAGGAGCTTCCATTAGCTTCACTGAGCTAAGCCTTGCCATACATGGCCTAATCATTGGGTAAGCACCTGTGGGCTTAGCTTGGTGCAGAGAGAAGTTGCCACAAACAGTTTTATTACTTATCTTAGGAGGGTGCCAGGGCACTCATGTAGCCATAACCACTGTAGCGGGCAATTAAAGAGCTTGAAGTATTACATTATTTTGAATTGTCAAAATCTAATAGTACATCTACATCTACAACTATCAAATCCTTATCTTTTTTTCCTCTGGTCCATCTCACCTATTCCATCGACAGAGACTAGCAATTTGGACAATGGAAGCAAAATGATCAGACAGTTTTTCTGCTTAGTCTTTTTTCAGTTTGACTTGGTTTTACTCATATTGAAACTATTTGTCATTACATTATCGCTCTGTTCTTTTCTTACTAAGACTGTCAGATTAATACTTATAGGTCTCAGCTCACTAACCTCCCAATGTTAATAAAATAAATAAATAATATATACACAGGTGTTTTGTGCAGCAACTTCTGTTGCTCAATCATCAATCTATTGACAAACACTAACGGGTCAATATTTTGTCTAATAAAATGCCCAAAGTTGACTACATATTAAATACTTACAGATGCTGTCAAAAGATAAATAGAGCAGGTCTTTGATCATTTCACTAATTCAAACAAACCAGCTGGGTTATCAGTAACCTCTAACATGTCACACTATTCTACTGAAACGCATTAAAATAACCCTTTTAATGGGAATGGCCTAGACTCAAGCTGAATGTCTGTGTAATGAAGGAGCTCTGCAGCTAACAGCCCAATAAAGTGCTATTTCCACAAAGCGTGTCACAGGCAAAATAAATTTCAAAGCTATAGCTGAGAATGGCACAGCAAAAAACAAACAAAACACAGAACACAGGGACGCAAGATGAGCTTCTTTATGACCTGACAGTGCCAGAACAAACAACCAGTGCCGATGAACTCACCACAAGATGACGAAGAGGACGACAGAGAGGGAGAGTTGGCAAGAGATTTCCCTACACTGAAGATGATGTCAATTACTCAACACATACTCCAATGCATGCCAGACGATATTTCCAAAAGATTATTTCAGCAACTTCAAAAAGTGATGAGTGATATCAGAAAAGATATACAGGTTCTGGGCTCCAGGATGTCTCACATGGAGACGAAGGTGGGAGAGTTTGTGGAGGTCCACATTGATCTGGCAGACCATGTCCAACAACTGGAAGTGAAACTAGAAACATACAAACACAAGATCATGGACCTTTGTCACAGATAACTACGAACTGACTCACAGAACTTAATTTAACAAATATATAACAATAACTGGAAAAAAATTTTTACCGGGCTTTAGAGTGGCCGGACTGAACACAAAACAGAGTAGTACAAGACAAGCTGAGGTCATGATAACATAATGTAGAATAAACAAGAGTATAGCCAAAGAAAAAGGACAATAGATAGTAGGATGGTGAAGGAAAAGCCAAAGTCAGATGAGCCAAAGATAAACAAGAATTAACACACTTTCAGATTAACCAAACAAATAGAAACCACAACAGGGCACAGATAAAAACTTAATATGAGTTTAAATAGCTCTAGGAGGGCAAGGATTGGCCAGAATTGACTTTGTGATGCCAAAACATGACGATAACGCAATGATGCACGTATGCTCGCATCACTTATGTTATGCTAGGAGACGGGGCTATATATGGGCATTGTATTGCAGAGGCTGGCATCGATCTGTATGTCATATTGGCCAGAAGCTACATGGAGCACGGACCAGTTTAGAATCCACCAAAAGGTAAGTCTCCCTTGAAGGCTCATACCAGTGTGATCGTGCAGATCAGGTGCAACCACGTAATTGCGCATTTCATTCCCTGTTACAACATGGAGGAAAGTTGCGTCAACAGGGGGTCCCAGAGTCCATATTACCAGCAGATCTGGTAGCAGGTCTACTTCACGCACTTCTCCCTGATGTGCCAGTAGATATGCTCTTGTTGGATAAAGCACACAGGGTGGCCACACCAACTTACCTGCCACGGTCATTTCCTAGGGACATACTGGTGAAATCAGTCCATATACAGTTATTCTGGGCAAAATGCACCAGAATTAAATATCTATTCTAGGTTTCAAAAAACAATAGGCCAATTGCCACCTTCACTCTCCCTACCACTGATGAGATGTTGCTATCCATCTGGGATCTTCTTAGAGGAAAATTATGTAATTATTCACCATTGCCACTTGCAACACTAGTACAGTCATATAACTTAGGGTCTTTCCAGCATAAACCATAGCAAGCCTGGAGAATCCATAATATTCATAATCTATTTCAAAATGGGTCTCCCTTGACTTACACAGAGCTATGGTCCCTGTACCATTAACCTTCAGAAATGGTGTTTGCATATGTTTAAATGAAATCGATTTCAGGAAAACAATCACCAACCAATTTTCCAAGACAGAATGATTCTAAATTGACACAATTTGAAAAACACTGTTTAAACATAGCCACACCAAAAAGCTACTATCCACATGCTACACTCTAGTGTACAAGTCAACACTTGCATAAAATATGGAATATATCAAAAACTGACAAAAGGATGTAGGACACATAATAGAGCCAGCCCAAAGGTCTACAGTATTCCAGGCACACAAGAATCTCACTCTTTGCAGATCAAATTTAGAACTTCTTAACAAATTCTTGTATAGATGGTACTTGGTTCCAGCTAGGTTAGCCAATATCAATTCCTCTGCTAATAATAAATTGTGACAGATCCATCTGTATAGACTGGGATTGCTGGTTGGTCTGTTTTGCCTCCTTTCGTGGAATTACCTGTCCGTATGCCCCTGTTCATTTATTTGACTTTCCTGCCGAGCAAAACTACCGAACGGACGGCCACCCAGAAGAGAAGGGTGCTGCTGGTTAACCTCTTGATCCCAATTAAAACGTTGTGGTTAACCGCAGACACCTTTCAATCAAAACCGAATGCAGGGTGGTCGTCGTTCATATGTTGACCACGAGGCGGCGGCCATTTTAAAACAAGCGAAAGACCAGTTCATGTTTTACCCTCAATGCGGAGCTTGGTCTCGTTATTGGAGGGGAATTTACTACACAAATAGCGACTGCCGGATGGAATTATTAGCCGCTTGGGAGATATATGGTTTCGGCTGTTAGCGGCGATTCGTGAGTTTACTGATTGAAAAGTGAAGTACCCGTACGGGTCCCGTTCGGGAGATTGGAGTATTCCCCTGCTTGCAGTTCGCATTATTGGAGTTGGTACGAATGCAGCTTGCGTTATGGTGAGAGGGGAGGATTAACTAAACGGCGGTTTTACTACTTGATGCTGAGGGTGCCGTTACATAAACGCTGGAGATGCAGCATAGATTTGAAACAATGATACACATGCCCAAAAATCAAACCATACTGGAAAATGGTCACTAACATGGTCATCAGCAACAAATACCTCCTATGTTCCTTCAACTGAGTTTTTTTTGCGATTTCTCTTTCCAGGTCAGATGACCATCCCATTGAAAAAGCCAATTGATTCCATACTGAGAAGACCTGATTCGTCAGGTATCCATTAACTGCTCATAAAAAATGTCAACAACTAAACAACAACAGGGTCGCAAAAAAGGCTTGCGGGATTTGGGAGTCTTTTCTACTCAAATCTCCAAAACAAAATAAATGAGCTTATTACTGGTAGTAACCCAAGGGTCTGTACATAGAACATTCAGTCAACAACACATCATACTGGGCAGTAGTAAACAGCACACATTACTATATCGGGATAGAGGGTTGAAAAGAATGATAGAAAATAAACGATAGTTAACTCACACTTGGGTCACCAGAGCTATCCACAGGGATACTTTGGGTTTGGAACTACATCACCTCCCAGTCCACCACCCTTCTCATATTCTCTCCTTATTAATCTTTGTAAACATTTCTACTCATTTTACGTTTTATATTTTACATTTTCTATTCATTTGTGTCACAGTTGAAAGTCTGTTTAAACTTAATACTACAACAAAATGTCATAAATGCATGAATGCAATGCTCCAGGGAAATGTTGAATGTAACTGATGTACATGTTGTGTGTGATAAATTGAAAAAGAGAAAATAAAAATAAAAAATCTAATAAGAGTATTAGGCTCAATAGTTTTGCGTGAATTAAAACATAAAATACTTAAATAATTCATTATGATGGTGAATATGGTGGCCTTGAAATTACCCAGTCCACTGGCATGCTTATGTGCCCCCTTGTAGTTACAGACTTTCAGTCCTAACTAAATCTTCTGGTCACACAAACCAATTAAAATTAATAGGTTTAGGATCAATTTAGAGCATTGAAAAAAAAGCTGTATATTTTGTAACTTTTCCAGCAATTACTAATTCTTCTAAACGACAAATTTAACTCATGTGCTTTTAATAATTTCCCATACAATATATGGGTGCATGCCCAACTTATATATATATATATATTTCTATGATTTTCAAGTTGGCATTAATTTTTTTTTACTGCCCTATATCCCATGCTCCCCAACTTCAAAGATTTAAATTATCTTTTCTCCTGTTTTACTCTAAGTTTTACTCTAAGTTATAGAACCTGTATGCTGAAACAGTGATATATAATTTTGGCACAAAATATATTTGTTGGTCTTTAGGTTGGCTAAACATCATGAAAAATATAGTCATCAAACATATGGGGTGCCAAGGTACGGTGTTACTGGTCTAGACACTACTTAGGTACTTAGGAAATGCATTAAGAAAATCAATTTATCTTACAAGTCATTTACAATTTAAAACTACTTGCACACTATTTTGTATTAAAAAACCCTGGATTTGAGTTTAATTTGATGATACAATGTAACAAGGTGATCAGCAGTAAGAATAATACAGATGGAATGTAAAATAATAAAAATGAAAGAGAAAAGGAAAATCAATTTATAGAACATTATGAAGGCCTGAATAAACTGACATAAGTCAATGAAGTAGAAAATTACAATATGAAGGACACAACACAGCACAAGCGAAGAATAAGCATTTTAACTAATGAAGTGTTCACATATATGTAGTGGAAAGATGAAATGATGTGGTACACTTTTATGATATGCTGTGAAAGTGCAAGATCTAAGTCACAGTCAGACAGTTACACACCCACAAACACACACATACACACACTTACAGGCAGACAGTGACACACTCACACAGTAACAGGCACAAGTCACACACATAGTTACAGATAGACAGTCACACACAGTAACAGGCAGACAGTCACACACACATATTCACATACACATTCACAGGCAGACATTTACACACACACACACACAGTTAGAGGTAGACAGTCACACACACAGTAATAGGCAAATCTTCACACATGCAAACACAATTACAGGCAGATAGTCACATACACAGCTACAGGCAGACATTTACCTCTTTCCATTATTGGACCTGGAGAGGGAGCTTGGGCATTGCAGTACCTGGTGTCTAGTTGTTGTGGAAGAAGGGACCACTTCCTGGGGAAGTCTGAATAGGTCTAAATCACAATCAGAGAGTCACACACGCATACACACACTTACAAACAGACAGTGAAACACTCACACAGTAACAGGCAGACAGTTACACACACAGTCACAGGCAGGCAGTTAAACACACACATAGTTACAGGGAGACAGTCGCACACACAGTTACAGGCAAACAGTTACCTCTTTCCATTATGGGCCCTGGAGGGAGGAGTGGAGGAATTGCAGTCCCTGGTATTTAGTTGTTTGAGAAACAGGGACTCCTTCCTGCTTCCCCCCTCAGTGTGTAGCAGTTACCAGGCAGCAGGTTCAGGCTTTAGTTAGCTCTGACACTACTGCCCATTTAGCATTATTCCTGTTACCTGCATCAGGCACCTCTCTCCTAGACCCGGATGGAGTATAATGAAATCCTCAACCCGGTTGCTGCACAGCCACCCTACAAAGTATGACCTGCAGGACAGGGGTGCTCCTTTTACCACGCTCACGGTTGTCAGCCTCTGCAAGCTATGTAAGCCCCGCTGCCATGGTGGCCTGTGCCACATGCACCACTAGGTGGTATAGGCAGCTGCCTACCAACTCCTATTTACTAGGGGTAATCAAATGTAGATGCATTTTGATATACTTTTCCATTTCTGTATGTACTAATTGCATTTACAGAATGAAAGTTGCAGTTTCTGAATTGTTTGTGTGTCCTCCAAGTTATGAGATAAGCAACAGAGGCATTAAATTAATTATTTTTAATAAGCTTTTTTAAATTTTCAC